GTGTGTGTGTGTGTGTGTGTGTTGTGTGTTGTGTGTGTGTGTGTGTGTGTGTGTGTGTGTGTGTGTGTCTGTGTGTCTGTGTGTCTGTGTGTCTGTGTGTCTGTGTGTCTGTGTGTCTGTGTGTCTGTGTGTCTGTGTGTCTGTGTGTCTGTGTGTCTGTGTGTCTGTGTGTCTGTGTGTCTGTGTGTCTGTGTGTCTGTGTGTCTGTCTCTGTGTCTCTGTGTCTCTGTGTCTGTCTGTGTCTCTGTGTCTCTGTGTCTCTGTGTCTCTGTGTCTCTGTGTCTCTGTGTCTGTGTCTCTCTGTGTCTCTCTGTGTCTCTGTGTCTCTGTGTCTCTGTGTCTCTCTCTGTGTCTCTCTGTGTCTCTCTGTGTCTCTCTCTGTGTCTCTCTCTCTCTCTGTGTCTCTCTGTGTCTCTCTGTGTCTCTCTCTCTCTCTCTGTGTCTCTCTGTGTCTCTCTGTGTCTCTCTGTGTCTCTCTGTGTCTCTCTGTGTCTCTCTGTGTCTCTCTGTGTCTCTCTGTGTCTCTCTGTGTCTCTCTGTGTCTCTCTGTGTCTCTCTGTGTCTCTCTGTGTCTCTCTGTGTCTCTCTGTGTCTCTCTGTGTCTCTGTGTGTGTGTGTGTGTTTGTATTTGTGTTTGTGTTTGTGTTTGTGCTTGTGTTTGTGTTTGTGTCTGTGTCTGTGTGTGTGTGCGTGTGCGTTTGTGCGTGTCAACATAAGCGACCCCCCAAACTGGGTGGCTTCTTATTGTTTTCCTTGACGCCAAAAAATGTGGTTCAAATGCGAATTTGGGAACGGCCCCCTCAAGAACCAACCTTCTGGAACTTCTGGATGGTTTCGAAGGGCCATACAGTATGTGTTTCAGGCTCTCTTCTTGGGACATAACAGCGACATCCTCCAATGAACCCCACCCAGCCTTCATGCCAGCCGCACATGACAGCAGCGCGCAAATCTGCCAGGACTTCATTGAAATGGTGAATCGCTCCCGAACCGCGCCGCGTTGTTCACAACTCTGCGTGGCTCTGAACCAAACTTCGCGGTCGGAGCCAACCTTGGTCTTCCCTCGCGACACTGAAGAGCAGGGTCCGGTTCTTGACTTGACTCTTGAAGATCATGGTGCTCATGAAGGCAGGTGAATCTGAGCTTGGCACAGTCGACACCACGTCAGAGCTTTGTGCCGTGTTGACTGACTTCCATGAGAAAAATGCAATGCACTGCCCTTGCAACGTCGAGAAAGAAACCAGTACATCACCGAAGTCCTGCTTTGCAAAAATCGCCCGCCGAGTCAACTTCCGATTTGATCCGAAGAACCGAATCTTGGGGGATTCCTTTGATTAGTGCGGTCCTCCACATGAATCATGGCTCGCAACAAAACATGCCCTATGTGTGAAGGGTGTTGTCTTTACCAAAAAACTGCCCCTTGATCGCCTTGTTGGACTCGTTTCCCGCTATAAAGGGAGATTTTTTTTTCCCCGGTATGCAAACAGTTCTTTTTCGTATGCCGCGATGCTGTGGGGCTGGTTTCGTATGCAGCGTAACTGTCGCCTTTTTCTCAAAAGGAGCCTCGGTTAAGTCCATTTGGAATTCTCACAGGACCCGCAGTTAGCCCACGGATACGGCACACCTTTTTGCTGGCACAACGCGTGGCAGGAACTCAAAAACTCATCTGCAGGTGCCAAACATGTTCCGCGGGCTCACACGGAACCCCAGAATCGGTCATGTCCTGCAAAAAATCAGTGGGGATGGCTATTGACCACTCACCACTTGAATCCCTTTCGGTCAAGATAGAACCAACACGCATCCTGCACATGGAACTCCTGCGAAAAAGGTGAAGAGCCGTTTTAAACAAACTTGCTCGCGGTCTTCTCTTCCAGCGTCTACGTGGTCATGATCACAACCTTGTAGCCTCAAAAATGGCAACCGGAAAAAATCCGCTGGTCAAAGGGTCGGTGGTTTAAAAGAAGAACCATGAGTCAGCGAATTGGCTGTCAAAGGGGAAAAACGGAAAAACACGGAAACAACAAAAACTTCCTTAGATGGTCGCTTTTAACAGCACCCATCCAACAAGAAGCCCTATCAAAATGATTCAAAATGGGTGCGGAAAGCAACGCACAAGAATGACTGCACCAAGATGGTCTCTATGAGTATGAGGCAACCCACTTCTGCTGGAAAAATGAATCACCCCCAGTTGTTTTCGCCTATAGCTTGGCAAATGGAACCTCGGAATCCGCTAAGCAGCCGTTGTTGCAGAAGTTGGTGCCGGCGTTCCAGTTGTAGTAGCTCAGGCTGGAAGATCCGCATGAGTTGCCGTCCCCATATCCGCGAACATAAGGGAAATCCTGGGCGAAGGGGTTAGCAAAGAGAGACAACCATGATCATCATCATTATCATTATCAGTGACATTATCAGTATCATCACCAGTATCATCAGTGCATCGTCATGTTTATCGTTGTCATGAAGATGATCATCATCATCATCATCATCACCATGATCACCATCACCA